GGATGGCACCAACCCATTCATGAGGGATCTGTTTCATGACCCCCAACACCTCCCACCAGGATCCCCTGTCTAACACTGGGACGCGAGATTAGAGGGGAACAAATTTTGAAATAAAATTTGGAGGGGTCAATATCTGAACTATATCAAACCGCAAAAGCTGTTTCATTATTATGCCTAAATCAACTGTTGAACAACTCGATGATACAGAAATAAACTTTATATATAACATTATACGTCTCCTGACAGCATTCTGGGCACTCATCCTAACTAAGCCTGGTTTGAATTTTATTTATTTAGAAACTATCAAAATTTGTTCCAAATGTTGAAATTTCTGACAAAGCAACATTTATATAAGGAATATAAGGAAACATTTAAAATATACTTAAAAAAAAAAACAAAACAAAAAAACTAGCATTGTCTCCTTCATAAAATGCTTGGCAAATTTCACAATAACTTCTTGTCTTTAATTACCAGCAGTACATAGGGAACAAAGGTTTTCTTTTTTTTAAATAGAGACGAGGTTTCACCATGTTGATCAGGCTGGTCTTGAACTCCTGACCTCATGATCCACCCGCCTCGGCCTCCCAAAGTGCTGGGATTACACGCATGAGCCACCGCGCCCGGCCGGGAACAAAGGATTTCAATGTTGAGGACTTCCAAAATGTACTCCGGGTACCACAAGGTAAAGGTGAGGAAGCAGCTTACTTCTACTCAGTGTTTGTACAAAACAAAAAATCATTTTTTATGACCTACCTATGTATTGAGTTTCATTTATGATCCATTTTTTTAATTAAAAAGTACCACTTTGGCCAGGTGTGGTAGCTTATACCTGTAAAACCCAGCACTTTGGGAGGCTAAGACAGGAGGATTGCTTGAGCCTATGAGTTCAAGACCAGCCTGGGCAACATAATGAGAGTTCATCTTTACCAAAGGGAAAATAAATTAGGTGGGTATGGTGGCACACGCTTGTAGTCCCAGCTACTTGGCTAGACTAGGCTGAGGTGGGAGGATCACTAAAGCCCAGGAGGTGGAGGCTGTAGTGAGCCGTGATCACACCACTGCACTCCAGCCTGGACAACAAAGCAAGACTCTGTCTTAAAAAAAAATCCACTTCTCTTTTAAAAAGGGGAGAAAGTTTCATTACTGAGGGGAAATAACAAGGATTCTGAAGTCCAAAAGATTACGTTATATAGATTCTGGCAAAGAAAGATTGGTACAATTCAGGGAGAGAAAGAAGAGATTTTTCACTTTTAATTTATATGCATTTGGACCCCATGCAGTGGCTCATGCCTGTAATACCAACACTTTGGGAGGCCAAGGCGGCCAGATAACCTGAGGTCAAGAGTTTGAGACCAACCTGGCCAACATGGTGAAAACCTGTCTCTACTAAAAATACAAAAAATAGCTATGCATGGTGGCAGGTGCCTGTAATTCAAGTTACTCAGGAGGCTGAGACAGGACAATTGATTGAACCCAGGAGGCTGAGGTTGCAGTGAGCCGAGATCGTGTCATTGCACTGCAGCCTGGGCAACAACTGCAAAACTCTGTCTCAAAATAAATAAATAAATAATAAATAATAATAATAATATATATATGCTCAAATGACCAATAGTTAATAGTCAATATGCTGATAACTATGCACATATTCTTAATGGTTTTGCAGCAAACTAATATTAGCAAATATATATTAGCAAACTAAATCCAATAGTACATTAAAAGGATTATACACCTTGACCAAGTGGGATTTATCCTAAGACTGCAAAGGTGGTTGGGTGTCTTAAAAAAATAAACCAATCCGCCAGGCACGGTGGCTCACGCCTGTAATCCCAGCACTTTGGGAGGCTGAGGAAGGCGGATCAGGAAGTCAGGAGATCGGGACCATCCTGACGAACGTGGCGAAACTCCATCTCTACTAAAAATACAAATATTAGCTGGGCATGGTGGCACATGCCTGTAATCCCAGCTACTCGAGAGGCTGAGGCAGGAGAATCACTTGAACCAGGGAGTCGGAGGTTGCAGTGAACCAAGATCACGCCACTACACTCTAGTCTGGCGACAGAGTGAGACTCCTTCTAAAAAAAAAAAAAATTAAAATTAAAATTAAATAAACCAACTGATACAAATATACATTAATAAAATGAAGAGGGTGAGACATGACCTCAACTCAGAAGAGGCATCTGAAAAAAATCAAACACCCTTTCATGATAAAAATACTTAGAAAACTAGGAATACAAGATAATTTCCTCAAAATTAGATAAAGGGCATCTATGAAAAACCCTTATCTAACATGCTCAGTGGTGAAAGACTGAAAACTTTCTCCCTAAGATCAGGAACAAAATAAGGATACTCACTATCACCACTTCCATTCAACACTGTACTGGCCAGAAGAAAACCAGTTTTAATAATAAAGTTCGCCTGGGAGTGGTGGCTCAGGCCTGTAATCCTAGTACTTTGGGAGGTTGAGGCGGGGGATCACAAGGTCAGGAGTTCCGGAACAGCCTGTGAAATCCCTTCTCTACTAAAATACAAAAATTAGCCATGCACGGTGGCAGGTGCCTATAATCCCAGCTACTTGGGAGGCTGAGGCAGGAGACTCACTGGAACCAGCGAGTGCAGGGGGAAGGGGGGAGCAGAGGTTATAGTGAGGGTAGATCATGCCACTGCACTCCAGCCTGGAAGACAGAGCGAGGCTCCATCTCAAAAAAATAAATAAATACATAAATAAATAAATAATAGTTCTAGGCAGAACAATTAGGCAAGAGAAAGAAAAGGCATCCAAATTGAAACGTTATTTTGATTTGCCAATAACATAATCCTATATATAGAAAAATTCCACAGAGGTCAGATGCGGTAGCTCATGCCTGTAATCCCAGCACTCTGGGAGGCCCAGGTGGGCAGATCACTTGAGGCCGGGAGTTTGAAACCAGGCAGGGCAACATGGTGAAACCTCATCTCTACTAAGCAAACCACAAAAGTTAGCCGGGTGTGGTGACGCACATCTGTAATCCCAAGTAACGAGAATGGCTTTAGCCCAGGAGGCAGAGGTTGCACTGAGCGTAGACTGCACCACTGCACTCCGGCCTGGGTGACAGAGAGAGACCCTGTCTCAAAAAAAATAAATAACTTAAAATAAAATTTAAGTAGTTATGTTTCTATGCATCTGCAATGAATAATCTGAAAAAGAAATTAGGATTGCAATTCCATTTAACAGCTAAAAGAACAATAACATCTAAAAGAATATCTAGAAAAAGATTTAACCAAGGAGGCGAGTTTTACCCTGAAAACTACAAAACGCTGAAGAAAATTTAAAATAACCAAAATAAATTAAAAGCTATTCTGAATTCTTGGGTAGGAAGACTTAATATTGTTAAGATGTCAATACTACCTAGAGCAATGTACAAATTCAACACAATCCCTATCAAAATTTCAAAATCCTTTTTTTGCAGAAATGTAAATGCTAACCCTCAAATTCACAGAGCTGCAAGGGAACATGGAAAACCAAAACAATCAGGGAGAAAAAAGTTGGAACACATACTTTCTGATTTCAAAACTTACTACAATGCTATAGTTAATCAAAATAGTATACTACAAGAAAAAGGATAGACATATATATAGATCAACAACATAAAACTGAGAGTACCAAAATAATCTAATACATCTATGGCCAACTGATTTTTTATAACGGTGCCAAGTCCATTCAATGGAGAAATAAGGGTCTGTTCAACACATGGTGCTGGGACAACTGGATTTCCACATGCAAAAGAATGACGCTGGACTCCAAACTCATACCAAATACAAAATTAACTGAAAATGTGTCAATGACTTAAATGTAAGAGCTAAAACCATAAATCTCTTAGAAAAAAACACAAGGGCAAATCCTCATGACCTTGGATTTGGCAATCAATTCTTAAGATGAGACACAAAAAGCATAAGACAATGAAAGAAAAAAAGAGATAAATCTGACTTCATCAAAATTAAAAACTTTTGTTCATCAGAGGGCATTATCAAGAAACTAAAAAGATGAACTTTAAGCAAACCAACTAGGATGGGATAAAAAAAAAAAAAAAAGAAAGAAAATAGCAAGCATGGGCAAGGAGGTAGAGAAACTGACCTTTGTACATTGCTGGTAGGAATGTAAAATATTGCAGCTTCTGTGAAAAACAATATGGCAGTTCCTCAAGAAGCTAACCACAGCTAATTACCAAACAATCCAGCAATTTCATTTCAAGGAACATACCCAAAAGAACTGCAAATAGGGTAATTGTATGCCAATGTTCACTGCAGTATTCAGTTTAGTCAAAAAGTACAAGTGTCCACCTGAATAAATACAAAATTACTGAGTGTTAAAAAGGAATGAAATTCTGGTACATACTGCAACACAGATGAACCCTGAAAATATTATGCTGAATCAAAGTAGTCAGACACAAAAATACAAATATTTTATTATTCCATTCACACAAAATGTCTAGAATAGGTAAACTGATGTAGACAGAAAGTAGATTAGAAGTTACTAGGGATTGGGAGAGAACAGATGGTAGTAATGGTTGCACAACATTGTGAATGTTATTAATGGCACTCAATTACAAATTTAAAGTGGTTAAAATGGCAAATTTAATGTTATATAAATATATTTTACCACAATAAAAAAAGTCAAAGAAAAAGTTATTATATGTTCTATAGAAATCGGCCCTACCAAAGCTCTTAAACAAAACACCTGTGAATTATCACTACGTGCATTCCATTACAAATCACTGAGCCATACATAGAAAACAATTGTTTCAGGAATTTAAAAAGAATAACTGGCCAGGCACGGTGGCTCAGGCCTGTAATCCCAGCACTTTGGGAGGCTGAGGCAGGTGGATCATGAGGTCAGGAGATCGAGACCATCCTAGCCATGGTGAAACTCCATCTCTACTAAAATACAAAAAAAAAAAAAAAATTAGCCAGGCATGGTGGCACACGCCTGTAGTCCCCAGCTACTCAAGAGGGAGAATCGCTTGAATCTGGGAGACAGAGGTTGCAGTGGGCCAAGATCGTGCCACTGTACTCCAGACTGGCGAAAGAGCAAGACTTCGTCTAAAAAAAAAAAAAAAGAATAACTGAGGACCGACCTTCAGCAGGGCTACGGCTGCCATGTTCTCTCTCGCAGGCATCTCTGGGCTGCCGGCCTGGGCCTTGCAGCCACAGTGGATTCAAGTTCGAAATATGGCAACTTTGAAAGAAATTACTGGGCAACTAAAGTCCATCAAAAACATCCAGAACATTACCAAGTCTATGAAAATGGTGGCAGCAGTAAAATATGCCCAAGCTGAGAGACAGAGAGCTGAAACCAGCTCGAATATATGGATTGGGATCTTTGGCTCTGTATGAAAAACCAGTTACCAAGGTGCCTGAAGACAAGAAGAAACACCTCCTTATTGCTGTGTCCTCAGATCGAGGACTGTGTGATGCTGCTGTTCATTCCTCCATTGCTAAATAGATGAAAAGTGAGGTTGCTACACTAACTGCAACTGGGAAAGAAGTTATGCTTGTTGGAATTGGTGACAAAATCAGAGGCATACTTTATAGGAATCATTCTGACCAGTGTCTAGCGGCATTCAAAGAAGTGGGAAGAAAGCCTCCTACTTTTGGAGATGGTGTCAGTCATTGCCCTTGAATTACTAAATTCTGGATATGAATTTGATGAAGTCTCCATCATCTTAATCGATTCAGGTCTGTCATCTCCTGTAAGACAGAAGAAAAGCCCATCTTTTCCCTTAATACCATTTTAAGTGCTGAGAGCATGAGTATCTACAATATTGATGCTGATGTGCTGCAAAATTACCAAGAATACAATCTGGCCAACATCATCTACTACTCTCTGAAGGAGTCCACCAGTAGTGAGCAGAATGCCAGGATGCCAGCTTCGAGATGACTGACAAATTGACATTGACATTCACCATACCCACCAGGCTGTCATCACAAAAGAGTTGATTGAAACCATCTCTGGTGTTACAGCTCTGGATTAATGAAAATCAAGTTCCTTCCTCAGACAAGAGGTAAAGAAGGAAAATTCAGCCAGCTGATTTTGTTTTTACCATATTGCTGTCTTTGTCTGATGAATCTGTTCCTCCATTGTTTGAATTACTGAAGATAGCAAGATATTTGTAAATTATCTTACAATAAACAACTTAAAAAAAACAAAAATAACTGAAATTAAAGTTAGCTTACTACAAAAAGTTTGAATCAATTAAAAACAACTTGTGTTCTGTCAAGGCTTGTTTTTTATTTATTTTTTAATCCTGAACTACTTTTTTTTTTTTTTTTTTTTTTTTTTTTTTTAAGATATGGGGTCTCACCATGTTACCCAGGCTATCTCAAACTCCTGGTCTCAAGCTGCTGTAGCTTCCTTCAGTGCCGTGATTACAGCCGTGAGCCACCAACGCTGGCTGCCAAACTACTGTCTATATACTAGGATTGAATTTATTTACAGTTGGGCTGCTTAACTCATATGGACAGATTACAGACTTTTTAAAATCACCACATATCAGTTTCATAAAAGCAACAACTATGTTTTGTTTTCAAATTTTATAACCATGCTTGCCATACAAATAAGTGCTCAATTAATTTGGTAAATAAAGTCAAACCAATGGCTGGATGCAGTGGCTCATGCCTGTAATCCTAACACTTTGGGAGGCCAAGGTTGGTGGATCACCTGAGGTCAGGAGTTTGAGACCAGCCTGACCAACATGGCGAAACCCCATCTCTATTAAAAATATAAAAAATTAGCCAGGCATGGAGGCTGAGGTAGGAGAATCACTAGAACCTTGGGAGCGGAGGTTGCAGTGAGCCAAGAGCGCATTATTGCACTCCAGCCTGGGCTAGTGAGAGTTTAAGAGTATATATGGATTGTCATTCAATGTCAATTTGAGATAATGACTTCTTGGTCTGTTGAGGCTAATGGTGAAGGTGCAAGTGATAGATATTTTTACATAATATGGGTATGAACAAGACTCTGTCTAAAAAAAAAAAAAAAAAAAAAAAAAAAAGGTAAAAATCAGGCTGGGCATGATGGCTCACGCCTGTAATCCTAGCAGTTTGGGAGGCCCAGACAGGTGAATCTCCTAAGCCCAAGAGTTTGAGATCAGCCTGGGCAACATGGTGAAACCCTGTCTCTAACAAAAAATACCAAAAACTTATCCAGGTGTGGTGGTGCATGCCTGTGGTCCCAGCTACCTGGGAGGCTGATGTGAGAGGTTCACTTGAGCCTAGGGGGCAGAGGCTGCAGTGAGCCAAGATTGTGCTGCTGCACTCCAGCCTGGGTAACAGAGTAAGACCTTGTCTCAAAAAAAAAAAAAAACAATGGAAAAAAATCAGTATGAAAGTAGCATTAAAGACTCTTTTCTCAAATCATCTTCCTGTTACAGTTTAAAACAAAATTTTTAAAACATAACATCTGAGTAATTCAGGGTACATAAAACCCAATCTTTAAATTACTTATTTTTTTCCAATGTGTATCTCTACTCCCAACTCCAATAGGAAGTAACCAGGATTTGACTTTCTGAGGAATTTCATTCACTGTTTTGCGCCTATCTGGCTGTGAGGTAGCCCAGACTAGCAAGAAAAGCCAACAAGGAGTCATCTTCATGGCCACATGGTTGGACTACTCAGAAACTTCCTGCTGCTTTGCCTCGAGTATTCCTGGTTCACTAGTTTATAGAGTAATAATCTGGGGTATTACTTGAATTGTTTTCTTTTGTCTTACTGTTCTGCTTGTGGTTTTGCATATTAAAGATTTAATTACATAAACACTGAATATGAATGCAAAGTTTATATGATTACCTACTGAAGTAAATTATGTACCATTAATTTCAATGAAAATTAAGTTCTGACTTTTAAGAATTCACCTTGGGCCAGCTGTGGTGCTCATGCCTGTAATCCAAGCACTTTAGGAGGCCGAGGGAGGCAGATTACGAGGTCAGGAGATCGAGACCATCCGGGCTAACACAGTGAAACCCTGTCTCTATTAAAAAATACAAAAAATTAGCTGACCGTGGTGGCACATGCCTGTGGTCCCAGCTACTCGGGAGGCTGAGACAGGAGAATCGCTTGAACCCAGGATGCAGAGGTTGCAGGGGGCCAGGACTGCGCCATTGTACTCCAACTTGGGCAACTGAGCAAGACTTCGTCTCAAAAAAAAGAAAAAAAAAATTTCACCTTGAGACACCCCCCCTTTTTTTTTAAGCACAGGGGCTTTTCTTGGAACAAATTACCCACCAGAAATGGGGAAAAACTATAATTTATCCCGAATCAGGCAATTCATAGCCAGAGATGATCCTGATTGGCCACGAGAATGAGCCTCTCAGCTCTCTAACTACAGGAAGCATAATAGACTGAGTGCTGCAGCAGCTGTACTCAAATCCATCACTGTGTTTGTGCCGAGGCTGCGCTTCTCACTTAGCTCCTCCCAGTCACTGACAGAGCTCGGCAGGCATACCAGGCAGTCCTATTCCTGGGAGACACATTATTCTTGTGATAGGCAACTTAAACTCAAAAACTTCCTGAGGCCTTACAAAGTTTCCTTAGTATTGCACTGCAGTCTAAGACACTTTCACCCGAGTTCCTTCCTTCCTCCTTACCTCTCTTTTAACTTGGAGTCAGACTTACATCACAGTCTGACAACTCTCCCTGTCTGCTTCCTTTTTCTCCCTCACAAACATTTCATGTAACAAATTTCTTATGTGCTTAATCCCATTTTAGCATCTGCTTCTAAGAGGTCCTGGACTAATATAATGAAAAAAGCTCCCCTTGAAGCATCACACTTTTAAAAAAAACTGGCCATTTTACGTGAACTATTTTGAAAATATAGTATTTGCTTCCCAATTTGCTAGAATAACATATACTAAACATGCCTTTTAACTGGTGAAGATCTCAAGTAAAACCTACCTAACTCATTAGTAGTGTATTCTTGAGGGGACAGACAGAACCATATGCAATTCAACAACTATATACAGAGCACCTGCTATACAAGAGAAATATGCTAAGTACTACAAGGAATACAAAGCTAAACAGTAATCTATTCTTCCCATGAAGGAACTGCCAATCTAAAAGGGGGAAAAAAACACAGGTGCAAACAGATTTAAAAGGCAGAACGTCATTAAGTGCTAAAATTAAGGTGTAGGTACTACGGGTATGAAAAGATTCACTCTACTTAGGGGACAGAGTTGTAGTAGAAAGCTTTGTGGAGGAGGTGGTGTTTGAAATGACTTTAGAGTCATCCTCAGAGCCTTCAGGCTACACCTGCCTGTGATTATCAAGGACAGTTCATCAAACAGACCTTCCATGCTTGGATATCCACCAAAGAGTAAATTCCTCTCTCACACCCTCTTCTCCAGAATACTGATGGTTTCTTAGTTCCCCTCCAAACCTGATACTCTCCCAATATTCCCCCTTTCATCACCATCTCCACTTAGACCCCTCAGTCAGAAACCTGGGAATCTAGGCCCGGCGCAGTGGCTCACCCCTGTAATCTCAGCACTTTGGGAGGCCGAGGTGGGTGGATTACAAGGTCAAGAGATTGAGACCATCCTGGCCAACATGGTGAAACCTCATCTCTACTAAAAATACAAAAATTAGCTGGGCGGTCGTGGGCACCTGTAATCCCAGCTACTCTGGAGGTTGAGGCAGAAAAATCACTTGAACTTTGGAGGCAGAGGCTGCAGTGAGCTGTGATTGTGCCACTGCACTCCAGCTTGGGCAACAGAGTGAGACTCTGTCCCAAAAACAAACAAACAAACAAAAACTTCTGCTTGTCAAAAAATGCATTAGGGAAACAAACAGGCAAGCCACAGGCTAGAAGAAAATATTCATATCTGACAAACGAAATCATCATTCAATACTAAAAAGGAAAACAACTTTTTTTTTAAGATAGTCTTGCTCGGCGGGGCACGGTGGCTCAAGCCTGTAATCCCAGCACTTTGGGAGGCCGAGGCGGGTGGATCACGAGGTCAAGAGATCGAGACCATCCTGGTCAACGTGGTGAAACCCCGTCTCTACTAAAAATACAAAAAATTAGCTGGGCATGGTGGTCCGTGCCTGTAATCCCAGTTACTCAGGAGGCTGAGGCAGGAGAATTGCCTGAACCCAGGAGGCGGAGGTTGCGGTGAGCCGAGATCGCGCCATTGCACTCCAGCC